TAAAATGTTGAAACTGGTCTACCTTCCTGCCTCCGCAACAAGACTGGACCCCCTCGATTTTACCGAACTTCCTGAAGAATAACGAGGCACGTACTGTACTGCTGGTTTTTATCTTGCTCTATTCGATTTTGCGGATACTTTTGTTCTATTTTGGAATGAAGGCGAGTGGCTCTACTAGGGGAGCGTGAGTCGAATAAATTAAAACGTGAAACGCGTTGGTTTTACCAGAGTTATAGGACCTATTCTTTGTACTTCACAGTTCTGGTGCCAGCGAGATGATAGAGAGAGCAATAGTTTTACCTTTTTCTGAATAAAACGAGATGTATGGGCTGCGTATGGGTCCTAGAATCCTTTTTTAGAGTCGTCGATATTGAAATCGAGTTGGTCTAGTCAACAAATTTTAATGAATTTGCCTGTGCCGATTGATTGGCTCTTCAGGGGCACTGTTCATATAATACCAATGTTGGTGAAGAGAGAACGAGACTTGAATTGAAAAAAGCATTATTGCTTTGATTTTTTTTTCATCGGGTAATTGTACGTACAAAGGAGGATGAAATCAGCTTCGTGAAGTTTTAATTGCGCTGTCACAGGCGCAGCTTGCTCCGGCGAAAATCTGGTTGAAAATAAAAATTATTGTAGAGCTGGAGGTGGAAAAAGTGTGAGAAAAGTTGTGACGAGAATTGGGTTGGAGGGATATGTCCCCACGAGACATTTGTAGACTTATCGTTCCATTTTCACTCGTTTCAGGAAATATATTTGTCCTTTTTTTACTCCACTCCTTTAGAATTCAAGTAAAAGCCAGTGGGCAAGAGGCGAGTTCAGTGGTAAGAGATCTCGGGGCACTTGAGTCCTCTTAATTCTTGTAATTCTACTTCTTCAACTCGCAAAAGGAAATTCTCTATTTCATCGTCTTGGCAATGTTGGAGACACCGCGTCAGCTGAATATACGATTTTCTGAAGAGAGAAGGATCGAGAGAGAAAATTTTTTTCAAATAGAGAGAGGGAAAATTTTACACCAGTTGATACGTCAGGAGTTAACTCTTTCATTCGCAGCTGAATGTGAGGGCTCAAAATTACGCGTTGGTGGAATTAAAAAGCGGGAGGACAAAAAATATGTGTCAGTTGTGTATAAAAGTGGAGAAAAAAAACTGAGGGTGACTGTCGACTGGAGTCACGTGGCAGCCACTACCCTGGCCTCTGTCTAATTTCTGTAATTTGTTGGTGGGATATATTTCATGAAGGTAAAAGGAAGTTAAATGAGACAGGCCGGCTTGGTTTCATTGGACAAGAGTTACTAGGGAGGTACTTTCGGAAGAGTTACAACGTCTAAAACTCGCTAGTTTCGGATTTTTCAGCCGAGAGTGAGAGATTTGAAAATTCAAGAATATTCATATGCTTGAATTAAACATTCGGCATTCGTTTCACAGGATACAACTAGGACCATTATATTTATTCTCTTTTTACGGAAATTTGTTTCAAATTTTGGCAAGAGTGTAGTTGAAAATAATGCGGGTACATTTTTATTGACACTACAATCACACAATATGATTAACGAGAGTAATGGGGATGAATGAGCTTTCAGCTCACCCTAGGTACACGATAAATTTGTTTAAATTAAATTATATAGATTATTATGGCAAGCGCGTAATAGGCACTTTGTCGGATAATGTATGACCGGGGATTATTAGCATAACGTGAGATGGTTGGGGCACCTGCTCCGCCCATACGTTCACCAGGGTGTTGTCCTATACTGGTACGTATGCCATGTGTGGCATATTGAGGATCAAGGGATGAATGGCCATGTCGTTATTTTTGTCGCCGATATACGCCAGTAGCTGCTATTTTTCATTTTCTTGTTTAACCAGTAGGGAAGAATTTCGTGAAAGCTGAAGCGCAAACGTGTCACGCTTTCATTGAAAATTTTTTATAGTGGTTCCATTATGGGTTGTTTCGCAATTTTTTAATACGACATGAGAAAACAAAATTGTGGAAAATTGGTGGATTTGGCGGATCGTATGCTCGGATATGGTTGGGCTATTGAAGTAAAAGGAGGAGAAAAAAATTCTTAAGGGATAATATGTCTTCCACCCAGGGCTCGCCTTATCTTCAGTGTATGGATAACGAGCGCGAGCTTGGAAAATGGCGGGGTCATGCTAAATTGCATACCTCATAGCAAGTATACCGAGGGGGAATGGCTCGATATCTCTTGGCTATTCGTATCGCATATAAGGGCTAACGGGCCGGAACATTTTTGATGGATATATTTTCGCAGATTTTCACGCTGGCTATAATATTTTTAAGTGCTGTTGTAAAAGTATCATCTATTTTTCGCTGCTCTGAATGAGGACATTTATCGTTTGTAAATGTAAATTGAATTTATGAATTCCACGAATGGATGAAAATCATACGATTGGGAGGTACATTGTGACTGGTGGTACGTGGTTATTGGTACGTACGTTGGTGGGGCTTTATGGAGAGGTACTGCTGACATGGATTCTTGTAATTGCATTTTGAATATGTTGTCAGTGGAATTATCATCGTATTTTCGAATAAATCGTTGAATAATTTTGGGGGAAACTGAAGACAATTCAATTTTTTATTGATTCACTTTGATATATTGGATCATTACTCGGCAGAGCTGCATTACACATTCAACATAATATGCGCTTTATCCATCGTTTTTACTCACATTTTTTGTGACTTCTTTATTTTTATTCCAGTCCTTTATAGATCGATTTGAGTGACTGCAACAGATTTTTTTATCGGCATTTTATTTGATTAAATCAAATTCATTCATTGTCTTCATCATTTGATTGAAAAAGAAAATGTCATCGTTACTCCGCCATTTTACGTAAATTCTTTTTCTCTTGAAGAAAATATTCAGTAGTTCCTAATAAGTGCCTCGACTTTATGGGATTTTTTTTTCATGGAATCGATCCCTCAATTTCAGAGAATTGATTTGCGGTTAAAAATGGCAACTTGCCATTTTGTTTACCAGAAAAACAGATTAGAGATTTCCTCTGGGAGCAAAGTAGGGGCGCTACATTTAACTTTAATTACGAGTTAAGCACGGTTAACTTACCGAAAAACTGGTCTTAATTACCTCATTAATCTTGAATCACCTCCACGTCGAGAAATTAATTTCAAGAATTACCATAAACGATTCTAATCGTACGATTCGACAATGCGCTTACGTTTAACGTTTTTTTTTTAATTTTAAACTCAGAACCAATTTGGGCTTTAATTTTAATGATTAATCCTGACAAGTTGGCAGTCGGTGAATTGAGTGAAATTTAACTGAAAGACGCGTAAATGTGGCACGAGCGTAGAATGGCAGAGGGTGCTGTGGTTTCTGGTTGGCCCCGTTGGTGGATAGGTTGATGGCAATGGAAAGAGAGTAGAAATAGCAACGTCACCAAAACTGGTGTACTTCATCGGTAGCCACAGGCGTCTGAGCGATTTCGAACAAACTGCGTCAACTGGTCCAGTACTTGCCATTACCAACTGCCCATTGATATGCCCGTGTACACATGCAGACGTGTACAGAGTACATAGGTTTGCCAACCCTCTCACTGTGAAGTAATTTCCCACTTGATCATTCTACCGAGAATGATTTACTCATGCGGGTGCTGGAATTTTACGACTAAAATTCGGAATTTTGATTTTCTCCGA